TGACATGTAAGAGAGATTTTAAGTCTTAAAGTGGTAGAATCAAATATTTTTGTCTATGTTCCTCAAGTCCACGGTTGTTGTTTAACATTTCCTGTGACATGGCAAAGCCCACGAAATGCGTGTTTTGTCTTGGCCAAATTATGCTAAAATGTATGCCAAGCAGAATCTGAATTTAAAACATTCCTCTGCGAACCGGCTGAAAGCGGTCTCCCAAAAAAGAACCGCGGAGCATAAAAAGAGCATTTTCATTGATTGCCATTGATTGTCAACGCCGACACATGCAAGGCTAAGGGTCTACAGAAAGCACACACCACCAGCCTTCTCTCGGCGGCACTCATTCCTTTTCTCCATCTCAGTGCAATTTAATCTCGGCCCAAAGCGCCCCAGGACAACCATTAAAGAAGATCGCAGCAAACCAGCAAACGTAAAAAACGAAAAGCTGAGACGAGCTAAATTGTGGGTTCAGTTGGCCTTAACTGCCGATGGGTGTGCGTCTGGGCCTGCCTGGCAGGCTGAGTGTGTTGGCACGCCTGGCAACTTTCGATGTGCTGAATTTCATTGTACAATTTTGGGCATCCCAATCCAAGAGTCGCTTCTCTTCTCACGGGAAAGGGAAAGTATGCGGTTATTGATACGGCGTCGGTTTCTTGTTTTGATTGGGCAATCGCATCCCAACTGAAGCTCAGGCAGTGCTCGGCTCTAATTGAATGCTCCGGTCAGGGTGGAGAAACGCTTAAGTTAATTGATTACGAGCGATCAGCATGTGAGCTGATTATGAGCTCGAACCGTTCGAAACTGACTGCGTGGAAAGGGAAAGGAAGGTGCTCTTTTAAAGTGATACAAAGTTGTGAGTTTGAGTAACAACACTGCTGAGATTCTAGTTTGTATATGATTTTAAAAGACAAATAATAGTTAATTTGATTACAAAAACGTGCATAGCTGCAAAGGGTTCGACTAGTTTTTTCCAGGAAAGTATAATTGACTGTGTAGATATCAACGGAAAAGTTAAAAATTACAATGCTGTAAGAAAATTAAATCTAATAAATTTAAAATTAAATTTAGAAATTTAATAAATAATTTCGTTTTTTAAAGAAAAAAGTTTTAATTAAAAACGTTAGTATTAACAATCATTTCAGATATCTAAAATACTATTCCTAAACTAGAATTTTATTTGATTGTATATGATTGTAATTAATTGTCTTTCTCTGGACACTTACAGGAATTTCAAACAAAGCTCAAAAACAAGGAACCAAACTGTTTTCAAGTCAATTAAATTAATTTTGTTAATCCTTTGCGCAGCTGTTACACCCCAAGTATCAAATTACCTGTATTGAAGTGCTCAACAATCTAAAAATTAATTGCATAAGCAGAGCCAGCCTTCGAACAGGTGGCCCACCAAGAACCCACAGCGGTTCCCAGCCCGAGACAAATCCAGGCAGAGATCGAAAAAGTATAAAAAACCTGCCGAGCGAACCTGCCTCTTGACCCAATAAAGAGTCAAGCGATAAATTTCTGCTCTGCCTGCAACGACGGCGGCTTCTTTCTTCCTCCTCTCTCCCATCGGGCAGCGAATTTTTTGATTATTTATATTTTCCTCTCGTTCTTCGGAGCGCTCTTTCACTTACTTAGCCCCCACAGCCAAGTGGGCCATGTAACCGAAATGTGCCAAAAAAAAAATCAAAAAACGCCAGGGAACGATGGCTTGTGGAGGCAGCTAATCTGAAAATTTAATCAGCCTAACAGTTGTGACTGCAAGGGGAAAAGGCTGAAACAAAGGGGAACGAAGTCGAAAAACCCAACAGGTTGCGGCAGTAAGTCAGCGGGTTACAGTGTCACCGCCGAGCTCCCAACCGATCTCCGAACCGATCTCCGAACCCGATCCAATCCATCGATCGCTGGACTTAGTCATGATGGACTACGGGAGTAAAAAGACCAACTCATGGCGCTTTCTTTGACACTTTTCCAGTGGCGTTTCAATTCGCTCTGTGTATCAGTGTATCGGCGTATCTGTGCAACGAAAGCCCCGAAAAGCCGTTAGCTGGGTGTTACTGTTAACTGTTTCACTAAGCCATAACTGAATAGATTCTGTTTTCTTTTAATTAAGCTTGCTGTAAAATAATTTTCACTTCACCCAATTTTCCAGGCCGACTCTATGTAAATTCCGCTGCAAAGGCGCCCGCACTTCGCCGTGCCAATGCGGCTTATTAGCTGCATGAAAGGTTTTGGCCCAACTTCAAATGGCCCAGTAAACAGTGCAGTTAGCTTTAATTGATTCCAGCCCGCTGAGAGCGGCCCGCCTCAGTTGGCCGGATTCGTGCAATTAAGTGGTCTCAGTGGCTGCCTGGCGGACGAGAGGCTTTCGGTGGAATGCATAAGTAGCTGCTGCCCCGGAATGCCCTCCACTCTTCTCCTGGTTAGGGCTGCGCCATGCCGCGCACTCGGTTGTCGACTTCGCATGGGAAGTTGGTTCTTAATGCGCGTTAACAAGCAACAAATCCCTCTCTAAGCAGTGCACTGCAGAAAAACAAACTCGATCCAACTTTCTTAATTCCAAGATTCGAATAAATTATAATTTAATTGGCTATTAAAATGTTTATGTACTCTTAAACTAAAATAAAACTGTTTAATCAAGAAATTCGCTGGCCAAAATAAGACTTTTAACTTTCGAAAAGTGATTCCAACAAGTGTTTTTAATGCATTTTTAATACCATTTTTTACTTTAGTTTCTTGATTTTCAAGCCTTTAGAAAAAACGATCTAATAAATTATATCTTTTATAAGAAACAATTTCTTTTTCATAATGAATAAGTTGAACAAACATACATACGAATTTTTTATATAAATGTATATTAAAGCATGTTTCTTTTATTGTTGCTTACGTATAGTAGGTATAAAAACCCGATGTAATTTCTCGATTATTTGTGTTAGAGTTTCTAGAATCTGCCATTTTTATTTTTTGTTCGAAATCTAATGACAAAGATGTTGTTAATTAAATGTTGATTGTCTTAGGAATTCTCAAAGCACAAAAGTAAAATGGTTAAGTCACATCTTCTAGCTAATTACATGTTCATTATAAAAAGCCTCGCTGGTTAGTTACCCATGATATTTTCTTTACTCTTCTTCACTCTGATTGGTTTTTATGTGCCCAATTGAAGTTTTGCTTACAACGCTTAATGACGAATTCATTTTCGCATATTGCATAAGCTCACTTGGGCGTCACTTAACGATTATGAGCCACGCATGCAAAACCCATAAGAGTCTTTAATTAACTTCGATTCACGCACGTCACGCACATTGTAAGCGACAAAGCGGAATGGAACCAATCAAACGCAAAAACCTAAGACAATCCCTGGCCGAAGTCAACGAATCCGGTATGAATAATCACAGTTGTGCAACCCAGGCTTGCCCTCCGTGGGCACCGGCCAGTGAATCATAAGCGCCGAGATGCGATCAGCACTAGACAACCCAGATGCAGATGCGATCGACACAGTTTCGGGGTTTCTAAGCCGTTTGAAATGTGTCACCCAGTGGCAAAGAGACATCGGCTGACATATCTCGATTTAAGTGGGTCAAGCCCGTATTTCAGTGGCAAAAAAAGGAAATTAACAAACTTATTCTTTCGTGCTCGACAATTGAACGCACTTGTGCGGGTGTGCAGACACATCTACACTACAATACAACTCAGTACAGTACAGTACAGTTAGCACACTTCATTACGTTTGGCACAGTTTGAAGGCAGGCAGACTGGCACTCAGTTGAGTACCAGGTAAACCTCGGAGACCCATCTCCCATCTCCTCAGCTATGCATTCTTTGTAACGCCCAATAAATTATGCAGCAAACGCAAGCTTTCTAAAAGGAGAAGACGAAATGAGCGGCAGAAGTGGAGAAGAATAAACACGTACTGCGACTGCCTCGGGCATCTAAATCTCCATCAACTGTTGGCATGTCGGGGCGAATTCTTTCTTATTTTCAGCTTATTGTGAACCGACATTCCTCGGAAATGTATCAAATTAAAAATTATAATTATGCTCACGTGTGGAAAAAGTGGTTTGAGTATCTTCGTTTGTACTAACTAAATGCTCGCTTGAGCAGAACCCTTGGTGAAAACACATGATTACTGCAGATAAGATCCATTCAGAACAAGTGCGGGAGATTCGCTTCGGTAAGGAGGAGTCTCGATTCGGATGACCGCTGTATTGGGTGGGTTTTTGCAATGATGCACTACAGTGATTTTGAAGTTGAATTTGGATTTATTTTTCTGCGTTATGTATTTTAAAGGGAATTATAAACATTTATATAAGTTCAGATCAATTTAGATTGTGAGTCAGTTACCTATAGGTTTATAGAGGCTATATCAGTCTGTCACTTCTCAATGTTTTTCTCGAAACGACATTCTTCAAAATTGCGACGTCATAACTCAAGAATTCTTCAATATATTCACTAAACACTATATTCTAAACCATTCACATATGATAGTTTTTAATATTTTTTGAAATTTGTACATGAAATACATTTGTACATGAAATACTTTAAACTTTAATAACCTTTTTGAATTTTTTTGTTTCAGCTACTCATTTGGATGGTGGTGACATTTGGGGTCATTTTTTTTAACACCTCCAAAGACACCTCATAGCACCATTTTTCAATATTTTAGTAAGCAAAAATCTTAAAATAATGTTGAAAACATACGTTTTTCATGGGTCACACTGGTATAGCTTCTAAAGGACAATGAAACTTACACTCAGGTAAGCATTCACAGCATTTTATAGGTTTTATCAATTGAGAAATCAGAGTGCTTAGATCTGTTGAAGATCTTGGCCTTGCTATCTCAACTTTCATCCTCCCACTTTGTTTGACACCGTGAAAGTTTGCTGCTGGCACAGGCCTCACAATTAAAGTTCAATTTATTAACTGAATGCATGTGAAATTCTTTTGTTGGGCATATCACTGTCGTGTTCCCGCCCCTTGCCCCCCTTGTCCCCCATTTGGCCAAGACTTACCTGCTGTTTGAACGAGGAGCAGCAGAAGAGCCAGTGGCAACGTCGACACGGCCAGGGCCACCAAGTGTCGATGGTCTCTTGGCATTCTATTGTTGGAAATGGCTGACTGCTGGGAGGTGCCGCGGCCCCTTCTTCCAGCTCCAACTGCGAGTCCCAGTCCAACTCCGCCTCCTCCTCCGCCTCTGTCTTCGGATCTACTCGACTGTGTGTTGTGTGTTAAATTCTGTGGCTTTCGTCGCATGTTTGCATAAACTACGTCACTGTTTTACCTCTTTGAGGCTTATTGTCAGGGGTTTCTATTATTTATCAAAGGTATTTCGTTTCTTTTATTGATGAACCGTGCCTTGGCGAGGCATGTTTTGGCTTTGACCGTGTGTGTTTAAGCTGAAAAGAGGGAGAAAGGTGGTCAGCGGAGCAAAAAGGTTGCGAATGATTCTGGAGTTTGTGTCTTGAGTCTTTTGTTTTGGGAGAGACTCTTCGCACTGCTATTTGGGGCTCGTTGTGGACATTACGTCCAAATGCCATGAGTCCAAGCCCCAATTAACAACATTTACATAAGCAGCGTCGTAGTAAGTCAATAATCACGGCTATCTTAACGGCTGGAAAAGAAAACACTTTCAGAAAAACTTTGACGTTGTTTCCCTGTTACGTAAAGTGAAGCGTTCCATTCCATTCAAGCGACTAACTGAACCCGGCTGATTGAAATGCTAATTTTGATTGATGTTGATGTCCAAGACGCTTTGAAATTGGCTGCAGCGAAAGTCGCCGCACATTTTGAGGTGTCAGACGGCAAAAGTGAAATTCCAATTCCAAAGCGAGCACGCAGCTATCAACTGGAGCAGATCTGTCGCCAGGCCCTAATCGATTTCGGTGCTCCGGATTACCCAATGTGCGGCGTACTGGTGCTAATCAGAAGCCAAAACAAGCAGTAACTGAGGCAATTGCCGGGCATTAGATGGAAAGTGAAAGCATCCAGCGCAGCGCTAACGGAGGTAGCAAATGAAAAGGTAAAGGTAAAGTTAAAGGTAAAGGTTGCCTCCACAGCATACGAGTATTCAAGTATTCAAGTCTTCGAGTATTCGAGTATTCGAGTGATCTCGGACCGGATCGGACCGGTCATATGCCGCCTGCAGTTGAGTCATGTCCAGGTCTGAATTTGGCAGCCCGTTGGCTTTGTTTGTGCTCTCTGTTTACCCGCGGCGGTTCGGTCGCGAAAGGAACCTTGAAATCCCCGCTGCACGCTTGAAGAATCCCAGTGAAATAGAAAGTTGTACGTGAGCAGCCAGAAGAGCAAAACCACAACAAACTCTGTTTTCTTCGTGGGCGAGTTGTCGTTGTTTTTTGTGTGGCTTTCTGGGCTGTCATTAAATGACTCCATTTTTCAGCGGATTGTTGTGTTTTTCCATTGAGCGCCTCGCCCACGCTGGCGCCTGTTTACGTTTTCATTGGAATAATTTTTGGTTTTATCAACTATGCTTTCTTTTCGAACCCCGCGCCGCAGACTGCTTCAGCACCCAGCGGAAGTTGCAGCTGGTAATTAGTTTTCATTTCGTTCGTATCTTCTTCAGTAAATGACTCATGTGCTTTTCATAAGCCATTTTTTTTTGGGGCTTTGTCTGTTGCGCAACAGTTTTTTGAGCCGGCAAAAGAGTCGGAGTCAGAGAAAGGTAAATGTGGATTGAAGGAGAAGAGGTTGAGATATGTGATCCGAAATGCGAAGTATAAAATTGCATAAGTCATATCTTTATGACTGTCAGCTAAGCAAAATAACTGGCCAATAAGAAGAGTTTTGGAATTCCTTTAAGCAGCTATGTTAGTTTAACTTTATCGCCTCCCACAATACTCTATCCACAAATTTCCCTGTTCGATGCTTTTCCATTTCGGACTCACCTCAAAGCGTTTCCATCAATCACACGATTGCAATCGCCGAGATTTGATTGATGTTTTTGCGTGCAGCGCTGTTGCACGTTATTTTCAATTAGATTTTGCACATAAATAACGCGAAATAATGGAAAATTTCACCAACCAGACAAGCTGCGAAAAACGAGAAGGCACATTAAATTGAAGATCTCGCCGACCCAGAGCCAAATCCAGCTGGAGCCGAGTGGAAATGCGGTTTTGCGGCTCCAAGGAATGCAAAACTCTAAATTATCGAAAAGCAAAAATCAAGCGACAGCTGCCGCCTGCAAAATTGGCACAAGTGCGCTCGAAATGGCACAACTAACAGTATCAAGTGCTCCAACGGGAATCGGGAGTGGGCAGTCTACTTGGACTTCCACTCCGTCTTGCTCTTGGTCTTGGCAGTGGACTTGGCTTGGAGCCATTTAGCAGATCGCTTTGCAGTCGACGGACGTGTGTAGGCCGACAGCGGACAGGTTGCAGCGGATCACGTATCCGGTTGGGGCAGCCTGGCGCGGTTGTTCTCGCGAAAAAAAAAAAAAAAAAAAAAAAAACTCCAATTAATTCGCTGGCACTCCTGGGCCAGAGTGGCTCTCTAATTGGCAGAGAAACGGCGGACAAATTATGAATTTGCAACCAATTTCACAGCGACGGTAAACAAAAGCCGCAGACAAAACCAACTGCCAGCCGAGGCAAAAAGGTAGCGCGAAAAAAAGAAAGTTTTTTGAAGTTTTCGTTGCTGCCGCTTTGGGGCTTATACGTATTTTTGCTTGTCTACACACACAAATATCATTTATTCGTTATACGTTTTCATATTCGCTATTCGCTATTCACTATTCACTATTCCCCGTTTTGCTGTTTGCTTCACTCCGAGGAAAACACTCTTTTCTTTCATCGGCGCACTCACACGCAAGCGCAGCGTTGTTCACTTTTCATATGCGACTCGACCGCAAACACGCACACACGCACAAGCACACAAACACACGAAGCCCCGACCGACTGGGCTTCTTCACTTTTCTGGCCACAATTCGCGCTCACCTACCAAGAAACCGCCAACAGGTGCGCACCGTTCGAACGCTCGACTCAAACTGACTCAGCTCGTGGCCCGAAGACTCCGCGGCGAGCCGAAGATACCAGAAACCGGAGCAGCGATCGCTGGCTTGGCCGCTCTTCGGAAGAGTACTCGGCACTCTGGCAGGTTCGCCGGCCCGTCTTCAGGTCGCTTCTGCCAAATAGATGGTCAAGTACTGGAGCAAGACATGTGCACTTTGCATTGGAATTATCGAACTCCTTTCTGACAGATACATTCAATAATAAAGGAGCTCTCTTTGATAAGCCGATGGTTGAATACCCTTGCTGGTTGCTTTCATTCCCGTTCGGAAATGTTTTTGAACTTTAGTTTTACATTAAACAAGACAAGAAAGGAAGATATTAAAAAAATAAAATATTCTTTAAAGCCGCAATTCTAAACCGTAATTCTAACAAACGAACTAACACTCGGAAAGTTTTTATTCAAAATGTAAAAAATAAAAAAGGAAGAACGCTATAGTCGATTTGCCCGACTATTAGATACTCAGCCAAAAAGCTTCAAAATAAACAATCCCCCACAAAACAATCGGAGTATAGGTGGCGCCATCTGTCGAACTGCATAGTCAACACTAGAACAACACCCCCGCTAACAGTTCTTTCGTTCTGTCTCTCGCTGCTGTAGAGTACCGGCAGAGCAACGGCCGAACAGCGGCAGAGGGGCGCCAGAGCGGCGGCCTTATAACTTCTAAAATAAAAGCTCGATTTTGAAAATTTTTTTGTCTACCGATAGAAATGACCAAAACACACACAGTGAGTACAACTGCTAAGGTCTAACATGTCTCAGAGTGACGTGACAGACGTGTTTAGTGTTTCGCGATTGGTGGGCTTTTTGCCATTTATTTTTCCGATTGTTACTATGGAAGCTATAGGATATAGTTATATATAGATATAGCTGTCATGCAAATACACATTTAAGTACAGTTTTTGAACTTAATATGTTGATCATATAAAAACCTTCAAGTCTCTTTTAGAAACATAAATCAGCAGTTTAAGTAGTGACGAATTCAACCAAACACAATCTAAAACTTTACCGGTTTATATAAACTGTTTATCAAATAAATTTAAAACGCGGAATTCGCTTATACCACACTAAACCCAAAAACAATAACAAAAGTTGGTGGTATCAATTTAAAAAGTAATCAAAATTGTTGTTCAACAGAAATGTGGCAAAAATATATATTTACATTATTTTTAAAGGCCATAGACATTATCTATAAGCTAAATTTGTTACTTGGTTGAACAAAGTTGCGGCCTTTTTTTGGGGGGTTTTTACGTTATTACATAAAAAAATATATTAATAAAATTGTTAAGTAATCTTTGAATAAATAAACTATAATCTAAAGCATAAGAAATTTATTCCGCGTTTAAATTATATTGATTAACGGTAATTTTGTTTTTAAAGACTTTTAAAAAGTTTGCATGGTATTTGGTGCAGAAAATCTGCTGTGATGGAATTTATAAGCGGTTTGGAAATCAGTCCTTTATCGTTGTAATATACTGACCAAAAATTAAAAATACTAATTTAATTCGGAAACCATTGCAACATTATTATTACCTGGTTCATTTTATTAACAAACAAATATTATTCAAAGAATTTATTGTTTCATAGCTTCTTTGGAAGGACTTATGTATGCAATAACTAATTGTAACTGGATAACCGCTTTCAAAAGCTCATTGCATTCAAAATTGAAATGTGTATATTGCTTCATGATATGGCAAGGTTAAAGCCTGATCTTTAATTTTACAGCAATGCTTAACTTTTGTGACAACTTATTTCTTTGCTCCTAGAGTAACTAATATTCCTATAGTAACTAATATTCCACACCCAATCTTCAAGCGATTCTCGACAGCTTACTCTGCAAAGTGGGGGGATTGCGCCTCCAATGACTTGGGTCCGTGGTGAGTTGGTGCCACTGACACAGGCCGTTTGAACGGAAACAATAACAATTGAAAGTGGCAATTTGGCGAATATTCGCTCCTTAGTTCGATCGCAGCTTGAGATTGTCCCAGCCAGTCCTAAGCCGAGCGAAGGCGACTTCCAGGCGGAGCTTGCTCCATTATTATGCAAATTGGCAAGGCTGATTCCGCTGATTTCGGCTTTCAATTGAAAATGAGAATGGCTCGGAGGAAAACTGAGCTCAGCAATGGAAAAGTGATGAAAGAGAATCGAATCGAGACGGTCTGTTCGATCGTCTGCTCATCATGCCACAAAACCATGCTCCATGACCAGTGAAATTGTGTTTGCCGGGCTGGTTTTCTTTTATTTTGTTGTTGTTGTTGTTGTTGTCTTTCCACCCTCTGCGTTTTCACACTTTTCACGAATCGACGTCTCCATTGTTGGGCAGCTGTGCTAATGGAATCGGCAAGCACCCACCACAGCCAGCACAGCCACCAGCGAACCATTGATTGAGCACGCTGGCGGCTTTAATAGTTCTTAAGCACCTGGGTATTAGTGTCAGAGTCGCAGTGAATCGGGCAGCGGTACTCCGCTTTAGTTTTCACAATTATCTTTATTCATTCGATCATAAACATGTGCATTTACAGGTAAAGAGAACAGGACTACGTGGCTAGTATTTCGGCAGCTCCGAGTAGCGCGGCGGCGTCGACCACAGCACGCTGGAGTTGCGCTTCAGCTGGCTGGGATCGATGTTCGGGAATATCTGCTTCAGGTCCGGCGTGGTGGGCACCACCGAGAAGAAACTGTCGATGATGTCGGTGGGGCAATGGCTCTGCATTGCGATCGCCTCCCCTCTCACATGGCCTGAAATAAAACGGATAATGGGTTTCAACAACAACTCATTTCATTTTCAAGGATAACTATAGCTCAAAAAATATTTTTCTAAATTTTTAAAAACAAAGTGAAACGGATCAAATTGCCTATATTAATATATATATACTTTATCAAGGAACTGAGGCAACCGAAGCCATTTTGTATAATTAGCAAACTTACTTCGGCTCCAGGAGGGTGCAGGGGGGCGCTTATGTGTGACTTTGCCCTCGTCGTCGGTGGAGTCGTCCTCGTGCAGCATCTCCCACGTGTACTTGGTCTTCGGGGGCGGCGGAAGCATTTTCTTGGGCTTGGCGCCGGTCAGCTGCTGCAGCTTCTGCTGCTCCAGCTCCTTAATCTTGGCCTTCTTGAGTGCCTCGGCCTCCTCCTGCTGGCGAATCTTGCGCTGCATCTCCTCCATCTCCTGGCGCTTGCGCTCCTCCAGGCGCTTTCGCTCCTCCTGCTTCTTGGCGCGGTCGGCGGCCAACTTGGCCATGCGCTCGGCCCGCTCCCGATCCTTGGCCTCGCGCTGCTGGGCGGCCTGCTGGTGTTTCTGCTCGCGCAGCTTCTTCCGCTCCTCGGCCAAGTTGTGCAGTCCCTTGCGGAAGTCGTCGCCGCTGTTCTCGCGCGACAGCGTCTTGGTGGACGTCGAGTTGGCGGACTTCAGGTTCGTCCCCGTGGCCGTCTTCATCAGGGCAGTGGCCTTGGAGGCGCTAGCCGACACCTTCTTGGGCTGCGCCGAGCTCAACGGCATTGTGCTGGCCGTCTGAGTTGGCGTGAAGAAGCGCCCCACAGTCGGAGCGGGAAGCTTGCCAATCTTGGGAGTGTTACTGGATCCCGGCGTGCCCAACTGAAAAGCAGGAGAACTGATTAGGTGAATGTTCAAAAATAGGAATGAAAAGTCCAAGTCCTATCTTCAGCTTCCTTCATTAAATTATTTTTAAGTAATATTTTTAAAATCTTTTTAATACCCAAAGCTTGTTAAAGGTTTAAAAAATGTTTAAACACATCAAGACAAAAAAGAAACAAGGATCTGAAAGATCGGTAAGCTGCCTTAAATTCTTTTCTAATTAGTTGCATTAATTATTTATATTTATAATTATTAATTGCCGCATTGGAGATTTATTTTTAAAATTGTAAAAATTATTTATATCTCGAGCTATATGCGTATAAGCTATTCAGACTTTCTTATTTTCCTGTCAATTTTTCGGGTGCTATATGATATTGTCGACTGATTTTAAAAAATTTAAGTCAAAGAGAATTCAAATAAATATATCTCGGATTAATTTCATCCACATAGTTTTAAAATTGAGAGACTAGTTTGCATAGAACGGACGGACGGAAATGGCTTGATCGGCTTGCCTGAAATTATTTCCTTTACTTCGTTGCAGACTTTTGACTAAAATTACCCAAAAGAGTATAAATATTTATAAATGAACTGCCTCCTACAAAAAACATCATGCAAAGATTAAAAATTATGCATAATATTAAGTGATAAGTTTGTTCAGATTGGTGATTTTATAAAATCGGAAAACTGTGTCCCTACTTTATTAGGATACTTACCGCATCTTTGCCTCGTTTGGGACGCAAATTAGACTGCGCTTGGGCCGCATTTTCAAAGGCCTCCACGCGGAGCTTCACGGGACTCTGCAGAAGTGGGCTGCAGGACAAACAAAGGTACTTTAGCCAAGGATAAGACATGTTAGCTATGGTGCTACTCACTTGAAGAGCTCGTGGGTGCGAGTTGGCAGCTTGATGGCCTTGATGTTCGATAGCACCTTTGTCGGCGGCAGCTTCTCCTCCACCGACTCGTCCTCCGTGAGCAGGCTGTCCTGCTTGGGTGGTGGCGCCTTCTTGTCGCCGGAGTGCACCTCGAAGGTGACATCGGAAGTCGGTGCCAAGGGACTGTCGCCTGTGGGTGCTGGACCCAGCACCATGGTGGCGTTGGACATGGTCACCGTCTCGTTGGCAGCAACTGGAGCAGCTGCAGCCACTAATTGCTCTGCAATGGGCGGGCCCTCGAGGGCGTCCTTGTAGATGGAGTGTTCCCGGTTTGGTCGCGACTCGGTGCTTCCCTTGCGTGTGCGCGACGACACTGGGGAGTTCTTGTCTATGTCGCTGAAGCGCTCCACTTTGATGGGCCGGTGGTTCTCCACGTTCTTCTTCTTGCGGACCTTCTTTACGACTTCCGTGTTGGTCGTTGTGTTGTTGGTCGTTATGTTGCTGGCCACAGTATCGTCCGGCCGTACGGCCTCCAACGTCACGGAGGAGGCGGTGGTTATATCTGGAGCGAGCAGTCCTTCGCTGCTAAGTTTCTCGCGCTTGACCTTCACGCGCAAGGTCTTCGTGGTGTTGGCGTCCTCGGAAGCCTCCTCCTGGGGCTTCTCCTGCTCCGCTGCTGCTAGGGTGGCTGGCTCCGGACCCAGCTGCAGCTGCTCCTTCTCCTGGGCAACCCGCCCACTGGAGGAGTTGTTGAACTGCGAGGCCCGGTGCTCACTCTCCACCTTGACCTTGACAATCTCCTCGTTACTGGGCCGGCGCATTTTGCGGGTGAGCGAGGGCTCCTTGAGCAGCTTCTCGGACTTCAGCTTGGCGGCACGCTGTGGCCGGCCGGAGTTGAGGGTGGTGTCCGCCGTGGCGGGCACGGGTGGAGGCGGCATCAGCGACGCCGTGGAATTGAGGTCGCCCTCAGCGATGGCCAGCAGCTGGGAATTGCTTACGCGCACGCTCGGGCGAGCCGTGGTGTCCGGAGCTGCAGATAGGGATCGTTATCGGGGCACTCGCACGGAAGATTCCCCAGTGGGCAGAGATACTCACCTTCGGAGTCGTCCTCATCCTCGGCCAAAGAGCTCAGGCGCTTGGGCCGCTTCTTCGTTTGCTGCGGAGTCACCGACATGTTCCCCTGGCCCCTGGACGCCGGCGCACTGTCCGCCGACTTGGCCTCCGAGCTCGGATTCGTGCTGCCGTAGAAGAGTTGGTCCAGCTCTTCGAAGTGGGCCTGCGAAAAAAAAACAAAGGACGCCATGTTGAGTGTGCGGGAATCTTGGCTTTTGATCCTGGCCTTACCTTGCGCAGCACCTCCAGCTCGTGCTGCAGCCCGGAAAGCGATCCCAGCACGTCCAAGATGTCCTCCATTCCAGAGACTGTATCTAATTGCAAAATCCGGGTTGGATTCGATTGGATTCCTCCAAACTCTTCGTTTTTTTCAAATGGCGGCAATGGAGACGCGCGTCAGCATGTAGAGGTGGACAAACATCGATAACAACGTCGATGTCATCGGTAGAGATGTGCGATACTTTCTCGGTTCGGGTCGATTTGTTTTCCTTTTATCTTTTATCGAATTTGAACCGCTTTAACCCGCTTCAAACCGTTTCTAGCCGTTTCAGTTTAAATTTTAGAATTCAAACAAAACATTTTGTAAATATCGTTGCTCACCTTTTTACTGATGATTTTTCGCCAAAAAACATCACTGCTGATAAAAAGGTGATGATTTTTCATACAAAATAGTGATGATTTTAGCATGGGCATGTCATAGGGATTCATCAGCAAAGCAAATCATGACCAAATCGTCAGCCAATCATCCACGATTTGCTGATCGTGTTCCTATGGGAGCTATATGATATAGTCGTTCGATTTTGATGAAATTTAAACCGTAATTCTGTAATAAATAACCAATACTATATGTCGAAGAACTAATAAAAAAATTAAAAAACAGCAAAGTTATAATTTTTTTTATTTATTTTTCCGGTTGTTCCTATGGGAGCTATATGCTATAGTCGTCCGATCCGACTCGTTCCGACTTATATACTACCTGCAATGGAAAGACAACTTGGAAAAGTTTCATGAAGATAGCTTTAAAACTGCGAAACTAGTTTCCGTAGAAACGGAAGGACAGACGGGCGGACGGACATGGCTAGATCGACTCTGCTAGTGATGCTGATCAAGAATAAATATACTTTATAGGGTCGGAAATGTCTCCTTCACTGCGTTGCAAACTTCTGACTGAAATTATAATACGCTCTGCAAGGGAATAAATATCACTCAAAGAAGAGAATGAGAAAGTGGGGGTGCATTTTTGTAAGTCTACTGCATTATAACTCAGTAAAAGTTTTTTGAATTGTATATTGAATTGTAATCGCATCCAAAGGCGATACGGCTATCGCATACCTTTTCCATTGCCTACAGGCCATATATGGCTGCAATCGTGAACAGGCTGTCCGTACTTGACTCTGTTTTTTTGCAATCATTTCGAATTGCATTTGCTTCGGCTGTGAACACAGTGGATGATTCGGGTAGGATTCCGAAGGACTGGATAATGTTCCTTGAGTCAACTACAGCAAAGGTTGCAGTATTGAAACGCAAGGGTCCACCTGTAAATAGCCATTTCCTATCTTTATAGGCATGTCTTTCAGTAGGTGCTTGTTTTAAGTCCAAGATTAAGTCCTTTGCAACTCAGTGTGTTATTATTGCTTTCAGCAATTAGAGTTTTCGAAGAATTCTGTTGTTTGTGTGTTTTAATATTGGTATTACTTTATATGTGGATTCCAAAAGTCTGTCTGAGATGGAGGGAGCACAGCTTCAGCTAAAATACATTTGATTGGAAATGGTGGGAAAGAGTTTGGGCATCGACGAACGGCTTGTGGTATGGTGCCTGGAGCGTCCTTATGTATTCGGACCAGCCAGATATGGGTAATGCGTAATCAAGTTTTGTATAGTATCAGGGCTTGGATGATTAGAGAAATTTTCTTACTTCAATTCTTTTGTTTAAGTTTTACTTTTTAGATTGATACGGTGTTTTTAAAAAGATAAGTTTTTGGTCAAAGGTGATACCAATATAAATCAGTATGTTTGATTGTCTTATTGCCTTGAATTTCATCCTGATTGGATGAATAGGTGACCAACCGATCCATTAATTTCTGCAGGATTCTCCTATAAATATGAGTGTTTTTCCGCACTAACTGTAGGCCGTGCAGCTTTTTACTCCGCAGGTCTTTCAAATTTGTTAATTTAACTACTTTTAAAGGAATTTCCTGTTAAAACGACTCTCCATCTCGAAAAAAATTAAAAATAGCCAAGTAAAAATCATCTAAATTCGTAAAGTATACTGAATCACAACCGAATTTATAGCATACTACTCGCAACAGCGAGTTGTGTCGACTTTTTTCCATCTCTTTCTAGCACATTTATGGAAGAAAAGAAAAAGACGTTGAAGCGGATTATGGTCGGTGAAGCAGAAAAGCCGCCAGTGTGAAACATGTTTCTCACCTCTACTGTTAACAGGGGCTTGTTGTTTCGCTGTTAGCGGTTAACAGGGCGTATGGTGCTGTAAGGAGCATTTCTGCCATCGCTTGCCAGCACTGGGCGGGCGAGAAAGTTCCCGCGCAAAATAAAAAACACAACCAAAGGCGGTTTTAAAGGGTAACAAAAGAAGGGAATATATTGTATAAGAAATTGGAATAATCAATAGATAATTACAACTGATAAAAACAAGTAATCTGGCATTTTAAAGTTGAAAAATTATAATTAAATTGAACCAGTTCCGGTTGGTTCCTGCTAGTACCATCTCTATCAAACAGTGTTGCAAAGCCCAGCAATATCCGAATTTTAGTGAAAAACTTAAAAAGATCGATGTTTTAAAACCCTAACACAAACGATTTGAGCAAAATGAAGCGATTTAATTTGTTTATTGATTAATTAGAACCTAAAGTCGCTGCATTTTGTTTAGCCACCCCTCCAGTGTTGCACAATCTTCGCCGCCGATAGTATCGCCATGGCGAGCTGACCAGATTGCCCATCGCCAGCACATTTGTTAAAAAATTTGCAACAAGCCAACGAAAATCGACCAGGAACGGTGGACAGCCAAAACCGCGCGCTCTGCGACGACCACCGTGAGATGCACATACGTATGCACACCCGTGCCGCGGAGTAGACACAGTGCCCGCGATCCGCGATCTGCGATCCTGCGATCCGCGACCCGCGAACCGCCAATCCCCGAGAAGCCAGCTGCAGCAGATCCCCAGATCGCGCCGCAGATCAGACCATGGGCCTCGACTTCGACGCAGTGGAGTACTGCAAGGGCGTCAAGAGCCAGCAGTCGCAGCCGCCGTTCGCCTGTCCCGTCCGCGGATGCGACCGCAGCTACAAGACCATCATGGGCCTGCAGTACCATCTGATGAAGTACGACCACGACAACCCGCAGCCGCTCACGCCCGTGCTGACTCCCAGCCGCAAGAAGGCGCGCTCTCGCTCCGGCGGCCACCACTCGACGCCTCGTCCGCTCAAGGAGCACCCCACGCCCGGAGCAGCTGGCTCGGAAGCCAGGAACGGCTGCTCGTCGGCCGGCACGGGCGGCGCGACCACTGGCGCGGGCGGAGGCCCCGTTCGGCAGTACGCCAATCCCGAGTCCCTGGTGGCCTACAACGAGGAGGAGGCCACGGTGACGTTCAACCTGGACGGCAAGAGCGTGCGCCTGGGCATCGACGACGCCCTGCCGCTCGTGGAGGACGAGGAGTTCGCCGCCCTGGTGACCAGAGGCTGCATCCTGAACGCCGACGCTCCGCCGCTGGAGGAGAATGCGCCGTGGGCGCGCGTCCAGGTGCCAGTGGCCAGGGTGGCCGAGATTCCGGACTACCGAGTGCCTGACGCCCCGCCGCGTCCGCTGGCCTACTACCGCTTCATCGAGAAGTCGCTGGAGGAGCTGGACGGCGAGGTGGAGTACGACGTGGACGAGGAGGACTCCGCCTGGCTGGAGCACATGAACGAGGAGCGCCAGCGGCTGGGCCTGAACGCCGTGGGCATCGACACCATGGAGCTGCTGATGGACCGGCTGGAGAAGGAGTCGCACTTCCAGGCGGCGGCCAACGGCACACCCACGGGCGTGGAGGTCGACGACGACGCCGTGTGCTGCATTTGTCTGGACGGCGAGTGCCAGAACACCAACGTGATACTCTTCTGCGACATGTGCAACCTGGCGGTGCACCAGGACTGCTACGGTGTGCCCTACATCCCGGAGGGCCAGTGGCTCTGTCGCCGCTGCCTGCAGTCGCCCAGCAAGCCCGTCAACTGCGTCCTCTGTCCCAATGCCGGCGGAGCCTTCAAGCAGACGGACCACGGCCAGTGGGCGCACGTGGTGTGTGCGCTGTGGATACCGGAGGTGCGGTTCGCCAACACCGTCTTCCTTGAGCCCATAGGTGCGTACTTTAGTCCCTCCCCCAATCCATTGGCAATCCACTAATTATTCCACTTTATTTCGATTTCTCCGCCAGATTCAATCGAGACCATTCCCCCGGCCCGCTGGCGACTCACCTGCTACGTCTGCAAGGAGAAGGGATTGGGAGCCTGCATTCAGTGCCACCGGAACAGCTGCTACGCCGCCTTCCACGTCACCTGCGCCCAGCAGGCGGGCCTCTACATGACCATGGACACGGTCAAGGACGGCCACAACGACTCGTCCATGCATGTGCAGAAGTTCGCCTACTGCCACGCCCACACGCCGGCGGACGCCAAGCTGAAGATGAACGTGCCGGACTTCGAGGACACGCGGCACAAGATGCGGGAGGCGCGCAAGGCCCTGGCCAAGAAGCGCTCCACGGCGCCCGTGGTGCTGATCCCCACCATTCCGCCGGACCGTGTGCAGGAGATCGCCACCATGGTGACGATGCAGCGCAAGAAGGAGTTCCTCGACCGCATCATCGCCTACTGGACGCTGAAGCGGCACTACCGCAACGGAGTGCCGCTGCTGCGACGCCTCCAGAGCCAGGGCAACAACCACGGCGTGATCCAGCGCAACGGCATCGAAGGGTCGCCGGACACGGGCGAGCTGTACCGGCAGCTGAAGTACTGGCAGTGCCTGCGGCAGGATTTGGAGCGGGCGCGCCTGCTGTGCGAGCTGGTGCGCAAGCGGGAGAAGCTGAAGGTGGCCTTCGTGCGGATCTCCGAGGAGGTGGTCATGCTGCAGCTCAATCCGCTGGAGGCGGCGCTGTCGAAGCTGCTCGACGCGCTGGAGGCGCGCGACAGCATGGAGATCTTCCGCGAGCCGGTGGACACCAGCGAGGTGCCCGACTACACCGACATTGTGAAGCAGCCCATGGACCTGGGCACGATGAGATTGCGGCTGAAGGAGTGCCAGTACACCTCGCTGGAGCAGCTGGAGGCCGACTTCGATCTGATGATCCAGAACTGCCTGGCGTACAACAACAAGGACACTGTGTTCTATCGCGCCGGCATCCGGATGCGCGACCAGGCGGCGCCGCTCTTTGTCCAG